GCTGAGGCAGGCTGAGGCTGAGGCTGAGGCTGATGCAGGCTGAGGCTGAGGCAGGCTGAGGCTGAGGCCGAGGCTGAAGGCAGACTGAGGCTGAGGCTGAAGCAGGCTGAGGCTGAGGCTGAGGCAGGCTGAGGCTGAGGCTGAGGCAGGCTGATGCTGAGGCAGGCTGAGGCTGAGGCTGAGGCTGATGCAGGCTGAGGCTGAGGCAGGCTGAGGCTGAGGCCGAGGCTGAAGGCAGACTGAGGCTGAGGCTGAAGCAGGCTGAGGCTGAGGCTGAGGCTGAGGCTGAGGCAGGCTGAGGCTGAGGCTGAGGCAGGCTGAGGCTGAGGCTGAGGCAGGCTGAGGCTGAGGCAGGCTGAGGCTGAGGCTGAGGCTGAGGCAGGCTGAGGCTGAGGCAGGCTGAGGCTGAGGCCGAGGCTGCAGGCAAACTCAGGCTGAGGCTGAAGCAGGCTGAGGCTGAGGCTGAGGCAGGCTGAGGCTGAGGCTGAGGCTGAGGCAGGCTGATGCTGAGGCAGGCTGAGGCTGAGGCTGAGGCTGATGCAGGCTGAGGCTGAGGCAGGCTGAGGCTGAGGCCGAGGCTGAAGGCAGACTGAGGCTGAGGCTGAGGCTGAGCAGGCTGAGGCTGAGGCAGGCTGAGGCTGAGGCTGAGGCAGACTGCTGAGGCAGGCTGAGGCTGAGGCTGAGGCTGATGCAGGGTGAGGCTGAGGCAGGCTGAGGCCGAGGCTGAAGGCAGACTGATGTTGAGGCTGAAGCAGGCTGAGGGCGAGGCTGAGGCAGGCTGAGGCTGATGCAGGCTGAGGGTGAGGCTGAGGCAGGCTGAGGCCGAGGCTGAAGGCAGACTGATGTTGAGGCTGAAGCAGGCTGAGGGCGAGGCTGAGGCAGGCTGAGGCTGAGGCAGGCTGAGGCTGAGGCTGAGGCAGGCTGAGGCTGAGGCTGTGACTGCGACTGCTGTTGCCACTGCGACTGCCATCGCGAATGCGACCACGACTGCGAGAACAGCAGAATTCTACAACAGGATTCTTATCTGAATCTTAAGGGGAATGCTTCCAGATATGCTCCTACACATCGCTGTTAGGTTGCTTTGCCGGGATAATTTGACAGATTCCTCTCGCTTCGCGGGGTGCACGTCCGGAGTACGTACAGTCCAGTCGTTGTCGGGCCTCTGGGAATCTCTTGGGGGCCCCTTGAAGGCCTCTTTGGGGCCTCGTGGGTCCTCGCGGGGGCGTCTGGGAGGCCTCTGGGGGGCCTCTGGGAGGCCTCTTGGGGACCTCTTGGGGCCCTGTGTGGGCGTCTTGGAGGCGCTCTTGCGCTGTCTGGTCCCTTTGGAGACTGTCTTGGGGTACTCTTGGGCCGTCTTGAGGGCCTCATGGGGCTGTCTGGGAGTCCTCTTGGGCCGTTTTGGAGCCCTCTTGACGGCTTTTGGGCCGTCTGGGGGCCATTTCGGAGGCTGTTTCAGCTGTCCTGGACCTCTGAGAGTCGAAATAGGCGGGAACGCTGAAATCTTCAAAAACCATAGGGAAATCGTTTTTGGCTTCTGGACGTGCTCTTGGGGGTCCTCTGGGGGCCGTCTTGGGGCGTCTTGGGGTCTTTGTAGGGCCTCTTGGGGCCATCTTGGGTCGTCTTGGGGCCATCTCGAGCCGTCTTGAGGCCTTGTTGGGCCCCAAGAGGGCCAACAGGCCCAACTCATTGATTTTCGGTAGGTTTTGGTAGGTTTTTGAGGCGCAGGAGGGAGGGGCCACTTTGGGTCGGCGGAAGTGGTGTGGCCCCTGGGGGGGGGGTAGGGGGGGTACATAATAATGTAACACAATACAATATGTAGCAATTCTGCAATCATTGGATACATGGGATACGTTGCATTACAGCCTCCGCGAACCTGCCTCCGGCAACACGTCAGTTCCGGACGTGGATTCCTATCGCTTCGCGGGGTGCACGTCCGGAGCACGTACAGTCACGTCGTCGCGGGGCCTCTTGGGAGCCTCCTGGGGGCCTCCTGGAGGCCTTTTGGGAGCTTCTTTGGGCCTCTTGGGGGCTTCTTTGGGGCCTCTCCCCCCCATCCTTTTCATATTCTCTCCCCATCTTCCCTTCCGGCGCCGGCTCTAATCATGGGCGCCGCCGTGACCAACTTCCACCTGGCTGGCGCTGCGCCGCAGTTCGCCCAGGGGGAGAAAAATAACATTACACTCCAGTCGTTGTGTGGCCTTGTGGGGGCTTCTTTGAGGCCTCTTGGAGGCTTCTTGGGGACTTCTTGGAGGCCTCTTGTTTTTTTTTTTGAGCCCCTTGGGGGCCTCTTGGGGCCTCTCGTGGCCTCTTGGGGGCGTCTTGACCGTCTTGGGGCGTTTTTGCGCCGCTCCGCCCCTTCGGAGGCAGTTTTGGGGGCCTCTCGCGGCCGCCTTGGGGTTCTCTTGGGGTCCTCTTGGGCCGTCTCAGGTTTTTTTTTGACCGCCTTGGGGGCCTTTTTGGGCCGTCTTGGGGCCCTCCTGGGCCGTTTGGGGGCCCTTCTGGGGGCTTCTGAGGCCTTTTTGGTACAATTTTGGTGGCTGCCTGGGCGGCCATGGGCTTCTGAGAGTCGAGAAAGGCGAGAGCGCTGAAATCATCTTAGGAGTTTCTTGGGCCCTTTTGGGGCCATCATGGACCGTCTTGGAGCCGTCTTCGCCCGTCGTGAAGCCATATGGAGCCGTCTTGAGGCCCTATTGGGCCTCCCAGAGGGCCCAAAGTCCCGAATCATAGATTTTACATGCGTTCTGGTACGTTTTTAACCCCTAAATGGGGGTCGCCACCTTGGGTCCACGGATGTGGCGTAGCCCCTGTGGGGGGGTTAGGGGGGGAGACATAATAATGTATCACAATACAGGATGTGGGAATTATGCAAACATTGGACACATTGGATCCACGGCATTACAGCATCCGCGGAAAACGCTGCCGCTCAGCACGTCACTTCCAGACGTGGATTCCTCTCGCTTCGCGGGGTGCACGTCCGGAGCACGTACAGTCACGTCGTCGCGGGGCCTCTTGGGAGCCTCGTGGGGGCCTCCTGGAGGCCTCCTGGGAGTTTCTTTTGGCCTCTTGGGGGCTTCTTTGGGGCCTTTCCCCCCTCCCTCCTTTTCATACACCCTCCCCATCTTCCCTTCCAGCGCCGGCTCTAATCATGGGCGCCGCAGTGACCAACTTCCACCTGGCTGGCGCTGCGCCGCAGTTCGCCCAGAGGGGGGAGAATAACATTACACTCCAGTCGCTGTGTGGCCTTTGGAGGGCTTTTTGGGGGCCTTTTGGAGGCTTCCGGGGCTTCTTGGAGGCTTTTTCGGGGTCTCTTGGGGCCTCTTGGGGCCTCTTGGGAGCGTCCTCGGCCGTCTTGGGGCGCTTTCGCGCCGTTTCACCCCTCGGAGGCTGTCTTGGGGGCCTCTCGCGGCCGCATTGGAGCCCTCTTGGGGTCCTCTTGGGCCGACTTCGCGGCCTCTTGGACCGTCTTAGGGGCTTCTTTGGGCCGTTTTGGGGCCCTCCTGGGCCGTTTTGGGGCCCTCTTGGGTTTTTTGTTGACTGTTCTGGGGCGATTCTGGAAGCTGCTTGGGCCGTCGTTGATTTTTGAGAGTCGAAAAAAGGCGAGAACGCTAACAGATTGCAACAGGCACGGGAAAATAATGATTTCGGCCTCTGGAGGCGCAGTTGTAGGCGTTCTTGGGGCCCTCTTGAGGCCGTCTTGGGAGCCTCATGGGTCCCCGTTGGGAATGTCTTGGGCCGTCTTGGGCCGTCTTGGGGCCGTTTTCGGCCGTCTTGGGCCCATCTTGGGCCATCTTGAGGCCCTCGATTGGGCCCCCAGAGGCCCAAGAGGCCGAATGTGTTGATTTTCGTTGGTTTTTGTAGGTTTCTCGGGCTCCAAAATGGGAGCGTCACTTTGGTCCGGCGGTGTGGCGCAGCTCCCAGGGGGGGTTAGGGGGGAGACATAATAGTGTAACACAATGCAACATGTGGCAAGCATGCAATCATTGGATAAATTGGATACGTTGCAGTAAGGCGTTCGCCGAAAAACGCTGCCGCTCAGCACGTCACCTCCGGACGTGGATTCCATGGGCGTACGCCACATCCGCCGACCCTTATATACACGACTGCGCCTCCAGGACTGCATTTCACGAGGCTTGTCCGAATCATAACACGGCGCTCGACATCGTTCTTGTTGCTTCGTTGCTGTTGTCGTACCTCTTGGTGCCCTTTTGTAGCCTTTCGGTGGCATCTTGCCTTGTCTGCAGGCCATATCCGGCCGCCTCGAGGCTTCTTGGGCGAAGTTTTGGGGCCTCTTGGGGGCTTCCTGGGTTTTTGTTGGAGGCCTTTGAGGTTCTCTTGGGGGTCCCTCAGGGCCTCTTGGGCTGTTCTTGGGGCAGGCTGGGGGCGTCTTGGGGCTGAAGGCTCGAAAAGATGCCCTCTGGGCTCCGTCTTGGAGCCGTGTGGGGGCCCTTTTGGGCTGTCTTGGGGGCTTCGGGGGCTGTTGTTGGACCCTCTTCGATCCCTCTTTGGGGCCCCTTTGGCCGTCTGGGGGCGATCTCGAAGGTTTCTTTGCCCGTCTGGGACGTTGTGAACATCGAAAAGGCGAGCATGCGAAAAATGCTTGTTTGTTCGAAGGGAATGGGACGATTTCTGTATCGTGGGACCCTCTTGGGGCGCATCTTGGGGGGGCCTTTTGGGACGTCTTGGCAGCTTCGGAGGCCGCCTGGAGGCCATCGTGAGCGTCCAGGGCGATAGTTTGGCAAATCGTGGCCCCCTGGGACCGTCTGGGGAGCGTTTTGGTGCCTTCTTGGCCAGTTTTGGAGCCCTCTGCTCCCCCGTGACGCGTTCGGTCGGGGGTCGAGCTCGGCGAAGTGGGGTGGCCGAACTGCCAGTTTGGGGTCCCTGGGGGGGGGATTATGGGGGGGGGATAATCTCACACGCCTAGAGACCCACAAGGGGTCGGCGGATTTTTCCAGGCCCCAACAGCTCAGACCCCTTTTGCCGCCCCCGAGGAGGGGACGTCTTCAAAGCTGATGGGGGGAGACTTTCTGATATGTGCTCGGCAGCGTGCGTGCGCTTTTTGCCGGAGGCTTTCTGGAGCTGTTCCGCGGGCTTCCTGAGGTTTCTAAACAAGGGGGAGGAGGAGGAGGAGGAGGAGGAGGAGGAGGAGGAGGAGGAGGGAGGAGGAGGAGGAGGAGGAGGACGAGGCGGAGGAGGAGGAGGAGAAGGAGGAGGAGGGAGAGTCGAGGCGGAGGAGGAGGAGGGAGGAGGAGGGGAGAGGAGGAGGAGGAGGAGGAGGAGGAGGAGGAGGAGGAGGAGGAGGAGGGGGGAGGAGGAGGAGGGGGGGGAGGAGGAGGACGAGGCGGAGGAGGAGGGAGGAGGAGGAGGGAGGAGGAGGAGGAGGAGGAGGAGGAGGAGGAGGAGAGGCGGAGGGGGAGGAGGACGGCGGCGTTGGCGACGCCGAGCGGGGGGATGCCCTTCGCCAGGCCCGAGGCCGTGCCTCGGGGCGCCCCCCGAACTCCCTTTCCAGCCCAGCAATATACGCTTCCCTTCCGGCCGGCTCTGCCGGGCCGCAGAAAATCGGCGGTGCCGCGCGCGCGCGCGCCTCCAGCGCCTGGAGGGGCACCCCCCGCGCGGCAGATCGCCCGCGCGCCCCGCTCGTCCGTGCCCCCCATCTCTCCCCTCCCTTGCCTCGAGGAGGAGGAGGAGGAGGAGGAGGAGGAGGAGGAGGAGGAGGAGGAGGAGGAGGAGGAGGAGGGAGGAGGAGGAGGAGGAGCAGGAGGAGGAGGAGGAGGAGAGCTCCCGCCCTCGGCTCCCCGCACCTCCCCTCCCCTCCCTGCCTCCCCTCCCCTCCCCTCCCCTGCCATCGCGATCGTGGCGCGACGGCTCTACGGACTACCGAGTTCTCCCGATGAGCCTCCGCAGAGCCCTTTTCTGCCGAGCCGTCTGGCTCGCCTGCTGCTCCTCCTGCTGCTCGTGCTGCCCCTCGCTGACATTCCTCGCTCCCCGCGTGAAGTGGCGACTGCAGCGGGCGGGAGGGCGGCCACGTAAGATCCGTGCCATCGCGCTTGCTTCGGTGTTCGCCGAAGCCTCTGACGAGCTGACTGCTGGTCGACGTGGCGCGCCCGATCACCCGACAGACCATGTTGCGTTCGCCTTGCCGGCGAGAGAAGGGGCAGGCGGCGTCAGACAGGTCCACGATCTAGCACCGCTCCATGAGGATGCGGATGTTACTGGCCGCATGCTCGATCGCATACTTGATCGCGCTTGCGCTGCGCAGTTGAAGCAACGGCATCACGCCTCGAGTGCAACGTCATCGGAATCTCAGATCCCTGAAGTCATCATGTGCGCGCAGCGGGACCAAACTACTTTGCGTTACAAGATATTCTTGGATCTAGCACCGTTCTGTTTTGCTGTCGTGGGAATGGATGGCTGCAGTTCTGACCGGGGCCCGATTTCCAGAAAGCTTGTTGCGCGGCATACGACGATCCATGCCGCAGCATCGTGTGTTCTTGAGTTCCGAGTGCGACGTGTTTCCCCGCAGTGCACTTCCGTGCTGCGTTGGGACAGGGCCTCCCACTCAGCACGCCCTCGTACATCATAACCTCCGGCCCAGTCCTGTCTGCAGCTTGTAATGTTCCAACCTACTGTAGCCTTGGTCACCAGGAAGAATTTCGGGCACCAAGAAGGTATCGAAACTGCAGGGTGTTCGCGTGTCGGGCCCGGCGAGGCGATACTAGTTCTACAGTGTTTCGATACTTTTCTTCGGGGTGCTCAAAATTATTTCTGGGATGTGGTCCCTGAGTACGATGGGAGCACCATAATCTGCAGCGAGCCGCTTGCCAGGCGTGTCAGAGGCGTGGGGTACTTTTTGCGACGGCTGGATACTTGACGCTGGTGCTGCCGATTCTTTGCGGGCGGTTGCTGGCTTCCTTCGCAAGTTCGGGAGCGCCCTGGGGCAGCCCATCTTCGAGTGCAGATCTTCTAGGCCTCCTAGATGGGGTCCGGGTAGACGTGGTCGGAGGATCGCGCCGCAACGCCGATGCATCGACGATGCGGCTCGATGTGGAGCCCGCGTTTTCCCACGCTAACTTCGCCGATGCATCGCCGACGTCACCGGTGCATCGCCGATGCATCGCCGATACATCGGCGATGCATCGGCGACGCCGGCGCGATCCTCCGACCCATTGAGCTCGGACCCCATCTAAGAGGCCTCCAGTTCTGTGTTGGCTTCGGAGCCCTCTGCCCTCCTACGTGAGCAACTTCTGTCCTGTCGGATGGCAGGATCATGGCCGGCACCCGTGAAGTGGCCTGCTCGATTTGTGGAGGGTGTGCGGTGGTGCCCACGCCCCGTGCGTACACGCCAGTCGTTGAAAGTAGGTATTTCTGGATTCCCAGATCCCAATCTACTTCAAGCGCCTTCCTACTTCAAGAATCGCAATGCTTTCGCTGTTTTTGTTATTCTCTGGGAGGGCCTGGACCCAATCCACTTTATCCGCCTTCCTACTTCATGTTTCTACCTACCTCTTCCGACCGACGTGTATGTTCTGTCGCGCGGGAGGCCCATTTTTGTGTTGCCCCGGGCAAGCATTAAGTCGGGCCTGTCCCCCTACAGGGGGATTTCCGAAGAAAATAGATACCCCCAACAAATAATCAACACATAGTAAACACATAGTCTGGGGACTATTTTTTGAGTATTGTTTTGACCTTTTGGGGGGCATTTTTTATGGTATTTATATTTTAAATTTGTTCGTCGAATATCCCCCTGTAGGGGGACAGGCCCGACATAGAGCAAGCAAACTGGTGACGAGGCGCAGGGCATTCGAATACTACCAGAAAGTGCGACATCGGAGCAGAACGGGAAGACGAGTGTGAGTCAGCAGAACATTGGAAGTAGAGACAAGTAGGTTCCAATTCTGAATTTCAGGTCTAATTTTTGCAAACGGTTCCCATGGTCAATTTTTCGAACTTCAAATATGGTCGAACCGTGTCAAATTGTTTCAAATGTGTTCGAACCGTTCTCAACTTTCAAATTTGGGCGAGCTTGTTGCAATTTTGTGTGTAAGAACAACTTCCGCATCCACGCGAACTTGTTCAACTTGTGTCAACACGTTTCGAAGTCTGCTCAAACGTCCAAACCCGCGGTTTTTTCCAAACTATTCAATTGATTTGTGTGTTTGTTTGTCAGCAGGTTCATGTTTGTCGAATTTCCAGGTGTGGGCGAGGCTTTTTGCTCAATTTTTCCGAGGCTTGCTTTCAATATTGTAAAACAGCCAGATCTGGGCAAACTTTTCCAAACTTCCAAATCCAGGTGAACTCACACTCATACTTCGCCCGGTTCGTGATCCCAAATGTTTCCGCTTATTCAAATTTGCATGCTCCGAGGCGACATCAGTCGATTCAAAACGGTTGTCGAGGCTGTTGACCCCTCTGTGGCCAACGTTGCGCATCTTGTTGCCGTTGCGCTCTGTTTGGAAGGTTCCGGATGCTAGGACATGTCTCAGTTTGATGATTGGGCGCGCGTTGTAAGATTTGTGATTGGTCTATGACCTGAGACCCACGACCTCCGTCGTCTGAGGGAAGTTGGGGGGCTGGTGAAACGAAAGACATGATATCCAGACTAGTGTTTAATGTGCCGATGCTTGCCACCAATGCAAAAGAAGACTCCTGGAAACTCCCAAGACTCGCATGCCGTGCGGATTGAATCATTCGTGGCACTGCGATTCATTATGTTTTTTGTTTTGTTCGCGCGCCGAGCGACCACCCCCTTTGTGCTGATACGGTCGTACACCAGGTCAGGTGGGGCGCCTGCTTGATTCAGTGGGGCCACGAAACGGAGGCGATCATCCCGCCCACAGTCAGCGTGGAGTTGATTTCGCTGTCGCTTTCGGGGAACTCGTCGCCGCAGGCTGCGTCGCCCAGGAGTGTGGTCGCTGCGCCCTCGGATGTGGCAGCGCAATTGAAAACAGCGGACGGCGAGACGCCCCAGAAGGTGTTCCTGTAGTTCGCCGTATCCGCATTGACCCCGCTGGTCGGCCGTGCCAATCCTCGGGGACCTCATCCTCTGCCATACTCCTGACATGGACCTCCCTGCCGCACTCGGAGAACGCATCGCCTCGCGCTGCTGCTTCGCTCGGGAGGGCGACTGCGGCTTCACCGTGGCTGCCCTTGCTGTGTCGCGGGTTCTCGGGCACCCGTACGGGGCTGTCCCCGAAGGCCCTTTTGCAATCCGCCCGAACCCTTTCGATCTCCCCGACGAGAGCACCGCTGTCGCCCGCGTCGGGCACCCGTGCGGGGCTGTCCCCGAAGGCCATTTTGCAGTCCGCCCGAACCCTTTCGATCTCCCCGACGAGAGCACCGCTGTCGCCCGCGTGGAATCGACGCCAGGAGACCACGCTGCTCTGTGGGATGATCTCGGCGCCCTCGGTGTCGACCCCCTCCTCCAGCTTCTCCCCGCCGTCGAGCTCCGCGGAGACCTTCGGGCTGATGATCGCCTCTTCGGTCTTGGCGGCGTGGTGGCGCAGGAGCTCCGCGGCGAGTGCAGCATGCACATGGCAACCCTGCGTCCGCCGAGTGCGCGCTCGGCGCTGCGCGGCCGCGGGCGAGGAGGGGGGCGCGGCGGTCGCGCGGGAGTGGGCTGCGCACCGCAAGAGCCCCAGAGGCGGCGCCCGTCCGGGCCCGTGCCCAGACGTCGGAGGCGAGGTGGAGGGCAAAGGGTGAAATCTAAAATGCCGTTTCGATGGATTTCCGAGGCTCGGCTTTGCAAAAGGTGCCTCACACGACGGATTGGTTTTCGAGGTGCAAAAGCCCATAGGAATTTCACCCTGAGCCCTCTACCCTGCGAAATCGCTCAGCGTAAAGGGAAGCCAGTGGGAGTCCCAGAGCGTCGTGTCGCTGCCTCTTTTTGCTACTCCTTGAGCCGAGCTGGCATCTGCCATAGCACAGTCGCCACGCTCACTGCTGCAAGGGCGCCGGTCCTTCCCTCGAGGCGGTATGTTTCCCCTGCGCGCGTCGCCTCATTCATGATCCATGCTTGGCTGTCAGCCTACCTGAGCTTACACGGTCGGGGAAGCGCGGAGCGAGAGCGAGGGCCGCGCTCATCTTTGACGCGGGGTTTGCTGGCATACGCCTCGGACGGAGCTGCCCGCCGCCAGGGGCCGCAGGGCCGCGTCAGGCATCGTGCGGCAGCGTTCGGTTGCACGGCTCTGACAGGCGTGCAGCTGCAATTTGCGGAGTGTGCTTCGGCGAGTCTAGGAACAACGATGCGGAGAACGAAGGGGTGCTGCTCGCCGGCGAGCATGCCTAGAGAAGCCCTGATGTGCGAACCCGTTTCTTGGTATATCCTCTTCTGGTGGTTCGTCAGCGCAGCTGCAGTTGGAGGTGCGCTTCAACTGCAGTGAGGCCAGGCGTGCTGTGGCCGTGGTGCAACAGGCGCGGAGGCTCCGATCTGCCATCGAAGTAAGAGCTGACCACGTGCGCCGTGAATGCAATGAAGGGTGCGGGCTCGGTGCGCGACCTGGCCGTGGACAGGGTGGGCGCCAGCGCGCCGCCAGGCACGCCAGACATGGCACTTGTCCGTGAGTCGGACGCCGCTCTGACACCCCAGGTCGGCAGGTCGACGCCTGGACGGCCAGTTGTCGCGCTCTCGCCTCCCTTCTTTCTAGGCCCGTGCCTCGGGCCCCTTTCGGCCCCCCTGTCGGAGGGGGGAGATGCGACACCAACACCACCAGGGGGCCCACCTCCAGCGAGGATGGTCCACGATGCCTCCCCGAGCTGGAGGCCGGGGATGTCTCGAGCGAGAGAGGGGGGGGCACCAGGGAGACTCCCCCCTTTGCTCCTCGCACCTCCTCGCCCTGTTGGTGCTGGCGTCGCCTTTCCTCGTTCCTACTCTGGGGGTCTGTGCTCCCCGCGCCCGCTCTCCCGTCGACGTCATCCGCCTTTCCTGCACCGTGGGGCCGCTGGGGTCACCGTGCGCCCCTTCCCGCCTGCGTTCGCC